TCAGAAGCGGACTGATCACTTCCACTGCTCAGCCAGCGATCCCTCCCCCACCCCTCGTCTAAGTCAATCGATCAATACCAAACCGCCCCCCCCTCTGGATCCTACCAGGCCTGACCGATCACTTCCACCGCTCAGCCAGCGATCTCGCCCCCACCCCTCGTCTGAGTCGATCAATCTCAACCAAACTGCCCCCCCCCTCTGGATCCTACCAGGCCACCTAGCACCAGTGCAATCAAACATTGGTAGCTATTACCAATTATCCGGTAAGCACGCGCATGATATATTTTATTCACTGGAGCATACTGACCCCTCAGGAGCAATCCCCCTTTCAACTGAACACCCTATATGACAGTATTTCCAGGGCCTAATCCACTTGGTGGCCGTTTCTGCTTAACCTCTAAACCCATTGGTTCCAAGCATATCATGGGTAAAAACATCCGGTATGGACTCTTCTCCTCACATTGTTATTACACCTGTCCTAACCAAATTGCTGCCCCTCTTTTTTATTTCATGTTGATTTGGTTTCTTTTGCTACTTCTGTTAATACTTTTATTATGATGAAATGACGGATCTCACATTGAAACCAATTTGGGGACTTGAATGATTCGTAATAGTCGTAATAACAAGAGCAGGAAAGAGGCAAAACAAAGAAACAGAAATAATAGACAAAGAGAGAACAACGCTAAATTGAACCATGAGGCTTTAGGAATCACCAACCGTTCGATTACCTGGCATTGGGTCCGCTACCGTCCTATCAGCCTGTACCCTACGATCCAATTTGTCGATGAAAAACCCACCCGGGGACCAACCGATACCGAGCTCAAAGCTGCACAGGATGAAGTCAAATCTTTTCGGCTTATCAAAACTGGACTTAATGTGATAAGGGACCCGACCGACAAGAAATCAGTAATCGCAATTATTGAGTTCACGCGTTTTGAGGATCTAACCGACACTGAGAAAGACGACCTCAACTTTGTCTCTACTTTCCTCCACGACTCAAAAAAATGGATCAGCGCGGTCCGATCTTCCTCGAGAATCTGGGGTGGTTTGATGTGGGCTATTGGCTGGAGGAAGTCTTCTGATACAAACCAAATTGCTGGAAGGTATATTAAAGCCTTCAATGAATCACAGATGTTTGCGTATGATTTTCACTACAAGAAATCTGCAAGACTCGGGACCATAATTGGAAATCTTTTCAAAAAAATGGCTCATATTCCCTTCCAAAAAAATCAAGACCTGATGAAGGAATTCAATCTTCCTGACTTTGCATCCCTTTCTTTCAATGAGCCACCGGCCGATTCCACTTGCTCTCCTCATATCACTTTCACCACCAATCAATTCTTCAACCCGCCCCATAAAGATAAGAATGATATTTCTGAATATGCTTTTGTTTTATTTCTTCCTTCATCCGCCAAAGATGGCACTTTGGTCGGCTCTTCTTCGGGGTATGATATTAGCTCTGGGCAATTTGTTTTTCCTGATCACCGTTTTGGAATTGACTTCGATCATCAACATGGTGTTGTCAAGATGATTTGGCAAGCCAACAAATACACCCATTGTACAATGCCATCTTCTCCTAGTTCACAGTTTTACCGTCTTGGATTATCTGTTCAAATCAATTATAGTCTTGCTCTCACTTGTGATAAATACATCAAAGGATACTACAGAGACTTAGCTAATTACTTCGCCGATCACTTGTATTACTTGAAACGTTGTATTGGTCGCGGAACTTTGGTAGCATCCCTATTTCTCTTTACTCTTTTGATTTCTTTATTTTAAATAGTTTCAGATATTCTAACAAAAATAGGTTCTCAACAAATAATGACATACACTCGTATCTTAAGCTAAAAAGGATTGATTTAAAATGCCCTCAGCTGTGTTGCAGCAAAGGAGTGGAGTATTCAAGGAGAACTGCCAGTAAATATGTACCATAGAAAACGAATCACTCTGCCCCCCATAGAAAACGAATCACTCTGCCCCTCCAGCCAAAGGAGCATCAAAATAACCCTCATCAGGGTCATCCTCTTCCCCTGCATTGAGCCAAGCTCCTAGGCCCCGTTCGAGCATTGGGATGAGCTGGCTCACCTCCTCTTCCCCTTTTGGGATGTCTACCCACTGGCGAAGCGCCCTCGTACCAGGTATCTCCAAAGAATTAACCACATACTGGATGGTGTTCTTATGCACCACTGTGTTATTATTTTCCTCAGACTCCTCCCGTTCGACACGCACAGTTCCGGATGATGAAACCTCACATCCTCCGGCGTGGCAATTGTGCTGGACGTTGATTGTTGAAACGACATCCTATAAGGTGGGTATTGCTGTCAGAAATTGGGTGATCGCGTCTGATGTAGAGAACAACTTACCTCAATTCTTACAAACTTTGTAATGCTTGTCTTTGAAATTTTTCTCATGTTGTAAAAACCGTCTATATCACCCCTTTCATATTCTGTGTAGCACACCCAGTAAGAGAGAAGAGACCTTCTCCTTGCTTCCCACATATGATCTATGCGTCCAACCCAATGCGGAAGATTTCCCTCTGCCCGGCGTATCTGTACCACATTAACACAGGACCCAGATCAGCAATTGCACGTAGAATGTTATTAAGCAAAATTGACACTGACCAAGACAAACACTCCTTTCCGGAGCGCCCGATGGGCATTCAATTGAATCCCCGCCACTTGAAATAGCTTCCGCCCCGGCAGATGGAACTCTAAAGGCGGAGGAATCTTCCTAACCTCTCTTGGAGGCAGGCGGATGTTCTGGGGGTAGGGATAACTGACTTGACCAGATGAAGCTGAGTCATTGTAGTCCATTGAGACTTGGACAAGTGGGTGGTCTACAAACAGTCGAGATACAGCAGAGCCAGCAGTGATGTAGACAGCAGGATGCTTAGGGTGCTTGAAGTGCCCGCCACATATGAGGTGCCTCAGAACTTTATAGTTCCCAAAGGTTATTGCAATGTCTTTCCCAGGACTTTGCCGATTTGAATGTACCGAGGCGTTCCTTAACACGGCGTTGTAGCTCTCGAATTTCTCGGTGGCGAATAAGCTTGCCGGGCCGAACCGCTCAATTGATTCCGGTAAGTGCACAAGCATATGAAATTTTGGCTTGTTTATCCACTGTGCTGTGGTCCTGATGATGTAAAACAGGAATTTTTGTATGTGAAATCGTAGGTCGACAAGGTACGAGGCCATGTCTTCTATGCGTGTTTGGAAGACGAGTGGGGCTAGTTGACATAGTGCTCCCCATGCAAGTCGTTCGTCGTTGGTGAAAAATTTGGATAGAACAAACGGGGCACTTTGCAGCACCATCTTGAACTCCTTGCCAACGAAATTTGAGGAGTGCTTTGCCATGTAGTATGGCGAAAAAGACGGGATGTTTAGCGATGTGGTGCTGAAAGCCCGGTACCAGCCCTCGATTTCCCCCAACTCCGCTGGTTTTGCTCGGCCCATGACTTCCCGGACCATATATTTTACAATCCCAAGCAGGAAGACGTGCAGCACCTCCACCGGTGTGTCAGTACACCCGTCAAAATCTGAAAAAGATGGTGGAAACCCATATAAGCAAAGAAGATGAGGATAACTATAAAAATATAACCAACACTTGCCTGGTACTTTAAAAAAGGGGTTAAACAGTCTTGTCTGATTAGTCTGATCAAGCTCGGAAATCCTATTAGTAAATGCCTGGTTAGCTGGAGTGGCAGCATCCCCTTTCGCCAGTATGGTGTATTTGAATAGCAGTATTTCGTTGTTAACAGAGTCTTTTATGCCCAGATCACCCCCCAAGGCACCAACCCGAGTCTTTGTCCTTGGCTGCTTGGCAAGGTCCCACAACAGATAGCAGTTTGCAATGATCCCCAGCCAGGAGCGAGCACCATTCCTGATCTTTTATACAGGCAGACTGGTCAGCTAATTTGCATTCAGGTGACACATGTGGATAAATTGTACCGACCCAATGCCCATCGGCACTTATTTGCAGGAAAAATTGCAGATAGGCCATGGTTTTTTTCATAGCCACACTGCTGACTCCTAAATCGCACATACGACAGGGATTGCGAGAATTGCCGGGCATGACCGTGCTTGTGATCTCCGCATGCATTGGACTGTCCGCCAAGAAACAAAGTAGAGCTGAAGTAATTAAGACCTCTTCCCCAAGTCCGCTGTCATATGCCACACAGCCTTCTTCAACCAAGGTTCTACAGAAAGATAATTGAAATCAATCACCCAATAGTTAAATATGTTTTCAAAGTTTTTACTCACATCAACTCATCAACAACCCCCTCGGCAAGTTCCATTGCACCGGCACTGTTTGAGGTGGAGAGAAAATGACAATTGAAATGCTGATTTGTGAGATTTGGGGGAAGACCGGCTAGTGTGAAGTAGTAAGATATATGTTTGTTCCACTTCTTGGAGCTATTGCCAGAAGTGTCATCGGCGTATAAGCATATTGGCATGTGACGAATGACTCGTCCAGCTGCCTTCAAGCGCCATCGATTGAATATTGGACCAAGAAGCTCACTATCTGTCCCTAGTTCTAGGTCAGGTGGGGTGATTATCAGAACAAATATATAGGTTTGTGTTACAACAAGATGAAATGTATTCCCAGAGCTCACCATACATCCGGTTCCCACACAAATCAGACATCAGGCCTCCACCATTGACAGTCATTGAAGGATAGTCAGTATGAAATTCTTGGACAGCTATGCGGGTCAATTGCTGCGAGTCAAAGTCTGGGTTTTTGGCGATGAAGAACATCAACTGGCCGGTTTGGTTGCAGACCTGAATTTCAGGTGTTTGGCACAGGGCATACATAACCCCTCTATGTTCAAAAAAGAACTCTGGAACAACAAACATAGTTGACTTGAGCTGAACCAACTCATGCAAGTAGAAATCTCGACCTCCACATCACACCATCTGAGCCCTGGTATTGGGTCCCAGATGGGGAGTGATAATCACACTCCACCCCCCTTCGCACACACACTCCAACACTCCCTTCTCTGAAGGGAGTGTGGGACCGCACTCCAATTGAAATTGGAGTGCGGGTCCGCACTCCAACCCTCTGCGCGGGCATTCCCCCAGCAGGTTGGCGTGCGGACCTGCACGCCAATTGTGATTGGAGTGCGGTCCCACACTCCCCTTCTGAGGGGAGTATGGGAGTGTGCATGTGTATACTTTATACATATGTACATATTCCCTGGGCTATCCCATAGGACCCAGGCCTGGGTCTTATGGGATAGCCCAGGGCTTGAGCCGTTGAGGCCGTTGAAAAAAGAAAAGAAAAAGACCTGGGGCTCCCAGCCCCAAAGGATTGTACAGTCTTGGGGCCGGGAGGGGTTCCTCCAGGCCTTGAGATTGTACATGGCTCAAGGCCAAGAGGAATCCCTCTCGGCCTTGGAAATTTGTACCAACATAAGGGTTTACAACCCATCTCGTTGGGAGGAAGCCCTCC